CCGATGGGGAGGCCTGGGCTGGCTCTGCGGGCTTCTGGGGGTGGAAGCTCTCCTGCAGCCCCCCAATTGCCCCCTCTCCCCAGATGGCAGCCTGCGGCAAGTGCAGCCGGGCTGATGGCCGAGTGCTGTGATTTGCCCAGTGTGGGCACTCCGGGCACTCCAAGCCAGAACTTCTTTGCAAGCAGGGCACCCCTGAGAACTGTCTGTCCGGGGTGGGGGCCGGGACCCTTTAAGCGCAGCCCTCGGCTAGCCTGAGACAGCATCTCCACGCTCTAAGTCCTCCTCTGATGCCCTGCCGGCACTGCTTCCGGCCATCCTTAACCCCGGTTCAGAGTCCACTCAATGTGGACATGCTAGTTCGAATTAGCAAACGCTAATTCGAACTAGTTTTTAGTTTTAGATGCGTTAGTTCGAATTAGCTTAGTTCGAATTAACTAATTCAAACTAAGTTAGTTCGAACTAGCGCTGTAGTGTAGACATACCCTAACAGATTTACTTGGCCTCAAGCTCTCATGAGCAAGACCCACATGGTGCATTGGAGTGGAATTTATTAATGATTCATTTCCACTTCAATACATCTGATGAAGTGGGTCTCTGCCCACAAAATCTTGCACCCGAATAAATTTGAGATTCTAAATGATTAAACTTTGGAAAATGTATAAACAACTGAAAATACACGATTCTAAGGGCAAGTGTCAAACAGCCTGCGAGTCCCATTCACCTTAGCTCTTCACCTCAGGAATGTCGGTGGCAAGAAGTTCCGCTGGCCAAATATGGATTTTGTAAACAGGTTTCTTTTCTCAATGCTATATGTTCACACTGTCCATGTCACTGAGTGTGCCCTAAGTCCCTGCCATTGAGGGGCACAGCTTGTGTTTGAGTAATACCTGGTGCATTGTAAGACTTTACACCCCGGTGTCACAGAGCCACAGGGTGAAAAGGTGTCGGATTGTCCATCCCCTGCCAAGATAAAGGATTTGCTGTAGTTAAACTATCTCAGAGAGATGGCTGTCCCGGCTCCTTTTGAAAAGCTCCGGTGAATGAATTTCAGGGACATTGTTTGGCATCTGTTCCCTTCTCCTCCACTATTTACAGGTAGGAAGATTTCTCCTGAGATTTCATCTAAATCTGCTCTGCTGGTTTTTGTACCAATTGTCTCTGCTCATGTTTCCTGTGACAAGAGAGAACGTGACCTCACTGAAGGAAGGGATTTCAGTGAGCTGGTACAATCCAGCAGAGAGTTTGGAGTCATTGTGGGTTGTTCTCTGACGATATATGCAGCGGTATTCAAACACGCATCCGCATGCAGCATATAAGGTGGTGCCGTACCACGGGGTTAGAGAGAGACAATCTGATTCTCTAGCCCCTTCTTAGCCATTCACAATGTTCAGTTAGGGTATGTCTACACTAGCCCCCTAGTTTGATCTAGGGAGGCTAATGAGGGCAACCGAAATTGCAAGTAAAGCTTGGGATTTAAATATCCCGTGCTTCATTAGCATGTTCCCGGCTGGTCGCCATTTTAGAAATTGACTAGCCCGAAGTAACTACCCGCGTCTACATGTGGCAATGAAACAGGATTCTGAATTAAATCCCTAAATCGAATTAGCTGGTAAAGCACATTGCAGGAGGAATAACAGCTAATTTGACTTAGGGCTTTAATTTGGAATCCCGTTTCACTGCTGCATGTAGATGTGGGCAGTTACTTCAAGCTAGTCAATTTCTAAAATGGCGACCAGCCGGGAACATGCTAATGAAGCACGGGATATTTAAATCCCAAGCTTTACTTGCAATTTCGGTTGCCCTCATTAGCCTCCCTAGATCAAACTAGGGGGCTAGTGTAGACATACCCTAACTGAACATTGTGAATGGCTAAGAAGGGGCTAGAGAATCAGATTGTCTCTCTCTAACCCCGTGGTACGGCACCACCTTATATGCTGCATGCGGATGCGTGCGCCCCAACTCACACCCCTTAGAGGGACACTGGAATTGAAAAGGGTAACACAAAGGCTTGGGGTAAGGAACAACTTCCACACGAGGTGAGCGTAAAAGCCCTGGGACTCGCAGCTAAGATAAGAGCTGGGTAAAAGACGATGGGGTGGAGTTCCATAAAATCATGACTGGCGTGGAGACAGGGAATCAGGGAATGTTATTTCCTCCTTCCCATCCAATGACAACGGGCCATTGAGATCTGTCAGGCAGCCAGTTTTGGTCCGTTTCCCATTCTCTACCGATGCTGTGCAGTGTTCACATTTTCACCTGAATGTTTTCCCTTCTAAGTCAAATGCCTCACGGAAATCAAAGTGCCTTGCATCTGCACCGTGTCCTTCATCCAACAAACTTCTATTCTCGTTAAACGATTGTGATGTAGTGGGGACTGCGTTGGCTTCTGCAGTCACTGTATTCACTCTGATTTGTATTCACACCATTTGCTTTGTTGTGCTTTATATGTTTCTACGGTCTTGAGCTGTTCTGCAGTAACTGTGTGCATGTGCCTCAGTTTCCCCGGGCACTGCAGCACTACATGAGAGTTTCCCCGGGCACTGCAGCACTACCTGAATGAGGGGGAGGCTGGGCAGGACTCACTGTGGAAGTATGTTCAGTCTCTCATGTCCTGAGGACCAGGTGATAGCAAATAGCACCTTCGGCCTGGAAGTCGGACAAAGCAGGAGGTGGGGCTGGTTGCGAAGGACCAGGTGACAGCAGATAACACCTTCAGCCTGGAAGCTGGACAAAGCAGGAGGTGGAGCTACCTGGGGGGTTGTGAACAGTGGCTATGAGTGTGTGTTACTTTTTGGCTGGTGTGGGGAGAAGGGAGTCGGGGGGGGGGGGGCGGGGAAGGGGCCCAGAGCTGAGGTTCTGGGCCCCTCTTTCCCCCAGATGGCCTGTACTACTGCTCCTGGTTCCAGTCACACGTCTGTACGACACTGTGTCCCTGGGCACCAATAAACCTTCTATTCTACCTCCTGGCTCAGGGTTCCATCTGCCTGCGGATTGGGGCGCAGGACCCATGACCCCCCCACACTCCGTGACAATGGTTACCACCATTTTTTGTCACAAGACCCGTTTTTGTAGCCATGATGCTGACAAGTATTATCTACATTTGGAGACTTTGTAAAACTCACTTCATCTCAAATTTCCCATCGCTTCATAACCAAATCTAATCTTCTATGGAATTGACCCTGTATTGTTCATAGGCTACATCTCACAGAACTGTTCTCCCTTTGACTTTTATTTGTTGTGTTTTGAGGGGAATTTGGTTGGTTGGTTTTGCTTGGCTGCTGCCTGTCTGTGTCCTTGTTTGGGTCCGCACCTGTGGCTGATGGGCAGTTTTGTTTCTCCACCCTAGGGTTCAAAACCGTAAGGTCCTACTATACAGGCTGTTGACCAGTCTCGTTCACTGCTATGGACTTCATTACCATAGTAACATGAGCATGTCACGCTGCTTCTTTCCACGTGCAGAACAGTCATATTTCTTGACCTTGTCTCATGTTTCGGCATCATTAACACGTTTCCTTTTCCTTTCAAGGAATTCACCTAAACCTGCTCTAGCATCTCTTTGAATAATACACGTGTCACGAGGCTGTCTCACCACCATAGCGTCTGCAGCCGGCCCTCCTAGGAATTAGCTTGTTTGGCTCATTGGACGCCTCCCTTTAGCTGGAGTCTCCCTATGTTTCTTCTCCAAGGGAACACCCAGTTCTCCTGCTCCCACTTTGCCTCAGTGACCCATGGCCAGTCTTCCTCTAGTCCCTGCCTCAGGGGCAAACTGTAGCCAAATGGCCACTCATCACTAGCAAAGGGGTGTGGACCTGCTGCCTTTGCCTACTCTGGCTGCCTCTCTATAACCCTAGTAGCCTCCGGCCTTGCTTCAGGCCCTGCAGCCTGGGAGCTTGCTTGGCCAGAGACGCCCATCCCTGCCTACCTTCTCCAGTCCTGCTCTACCTCCAGGAAGCCGCCTGCTTCCCTGGCAGCCAGGTCCCTACTGCTCTCTGTCCAGAGTAGCCGTCAATTCTCCCCTCTCTCCAGGGCTATATCTACACTGGCGGTTCTTGCGCAAGAATGGCCATTCCTCTACAGAGCCTGCTCTTGCGCAAGAAGAGTTACAGTAGAGCGTGGGAGGAGAGGGCTTCTTGCGGAAGAGTTATGCTCTTTTCTAACAAGTGTAAGCTCTCTTGAGCAAAAGAGCACATGGCAGTGTGGATGTGTCCTTGCGCCAGGGTTATGCTCTTTTCTAACAAGTGTAAGCTCTCTTGAGCAAAAGAGCACATGGCAGTGTGGATGTGTCCTTGCGCCAGGGTTATTGCGCCAGTAATAGCTGCCTTCACCTTGCCACTGAAATGAAGTTTTAGTCAAATTCATCCACATTTTTGACTGTGGAATGGTGATTTTTTTTTTGCTATCTAAAATATCTCTTCTTAAAAACCTCCCAAGATCCATTCAGATTTTTCTCTCTAAATTCTCTACATTTCTCATGAAGCAGCGGGATATTTCCCTAATAGATGTCTTGCCACATGTTTGGATTTCTTCCACTCGCAGATTTTGACCTACCAAGGGAATGGGGAGCTGCCTCTACCAAGGGCTCCCCAGCCTCGGTTCTCCTCGCATGATGGAACAATGACAGAGAACCAGTATCAACACTCAGGTTTCCTGGTGGCTCCTATTAGGGTTTCCCACACTATGATGTGTATCACTTACTGACACTTAGAGCACCATCAAATACGGAATTGGCCTGAACGGGGTCAATTATTCCTAATTCATTTCTCTGGTTAATGGAAATGTTATTTTCAGTGTGTGAAGAAAGACAAATTATTCCATTCATGAGAACAGCCTCCAGCAGGCCATGTGGGGTCTGATATTAACGTTGTCTCTCCATCCAGGCATTTGTGTGATGACCATCATCCTAGACCCTGGGCACCTACAGGAAGTCGGGTGAATGTTCGGTTTGAGAAGAAGACACCGTTGTGCCCCTGAATTGGATAACTTCTCCTCTCCCCTGTTCCATGTCATATTCCAATGCAACCAAGTTCACCAACCCCTCCACCTTCATCCTGCTGGTCATTCCTGGCCTGGAGGCAGCCTATGTCTGGCTTTCCATCCCCTTCTGTGCCATATACGCCATAGCCCTCTTTGGCAACTTCATCATCCTCTTCATTGTGAAGTTTGAACCAAGCCTCCATGAGCCCATGTACTATTTCCTCTGCATGCTGGCCATCATCGACCTGGTCTTGTCTACATCCACCCTGCCTAAAATGCTGAGCATCTTCTGGTTCAATTCCAGGGAGATCGATTTCAGAGCCTGCCTCACACAGCTATACTTCCTTCACTGCTTTGCAGTGATGGAGTCTGGGATCTTCATGGCCATGGCTTTGGATCGCTATGTGGCCATCTGCCATCCCCTGAGACATTCCATCATCCTGCGAAACCCCGTGGTGGCCAAGATCAGCCTGGCTGTGATTCTGCGAGGCAGCATTATCATACTGCCCTATCCTTTCCTGGTGAGGAGGTTGCAATACTGCAGAACCAACATCATCCCTCACACGCACTGTGAACACATCTACATGGTGAAGCTGGCCTGCGGTGACATCAGCATCAGTAATTACTACGGCCTCTTCGTGCAGTTCTGTGGGAAATGGGTGGACATGATTTTTATCGCCATGTCCTATTTTGAAATCCTCAGGGCCATCTTCAAGCTTCCCACCAAGGACGCCTGGCTCAAGACTTTTGGGACCTGCGGCTCCCACCTCTGCGCCATCTTGGCCTTTTACATCCCTAGTTTCTTCTCCTCCTTCACACAGCGGTTTGGCCAGAATCTACCCCTGCATTTCCAAGTTCTCATTGCCAATGTGTACCTCCTGATACCCCCCATGCTCAACCCCATCATCTACGGGGTGAGGACCAGACAGATCCGGCAGAGACTGCTCCGGTTTTTTGTTTGTGGAAGCAAGATCTGAAGGAACGCTTCCCTGGCAGCTCCCTGGACGAAAGGGAGGGAGGAAGGAAGGAAGGAAGGCCCCTGATGTAGCTATGTAAATAGATGGGTTAGATGGAGAGGTGTTTGCACATTGTAATCCACTGAGTTCCTGACCCACGCAGCCCAGGACAGCGGTGGTGAAAAGGAGGGAGGTGGCAGGTGTGTAGGCATGTATCATTTTTGTACCTAAGGTTTTCAATATTGATTATGTCCTAGCATTTCAAACGTCTTTCCTCTCGGGCCACAACCACAATGATGTTTACATCCAGTTGGACGGACCATTCAAGGTAACGGCCCAAGGAGAAACTTCTCTCTCCAGCGATGGCTGTTGACTGTCTGAATATCCCTCCCGGCCATGTACAGACCCTGAGCAGACATGAGCCTTTATCCCTCATTTTCTTCCTAATCAGTTTTAATTGTTCAATACACACAAAGGCACGGAGCAGTCAGTTCCCCCGTGACCTAGCCCAGAGTCCAAGAGCTTTTCTCTCCCTTGGGAAGGCCCGTTAATTCTTGTTTACACTTAAAGCTGGACAAAGACCCCAGGAGCTGACATGGAAAGTGCAGGTATCAGCTGGGGTGTTTCTGGTCTTCATGCTCTTTGCACCCAGACGCCTCTTCCTGTCCTAGGGGCTGAGCGAACCCCCTGGGATGCAAAATACTGTGTTATAAACGGTGCCCAGCCCTGTGCCGGTTCTCAGCGCGGGACGCTGCTGCAGATGCTGGGCTGACAGACCTGCAGGACCCAGCTGCCTGACGGGCATTCCCAGGGAAGACACGTCCCTCTCAGCACTCACAGGTACCAGCTCTCGCAGAGGGGCTCCCCTAACTCACAGACCCAGGGCAGTGTGGGTGGAAGGGGAGAGAAAGTCTGTGGTTCTTTCTGCTCCTCACTGACACTCAGTGTCCCTGGGTCCTCGCACAGGGGATGAATTTGCTCTAGTATCCTGGACCAGACTGTTCCTCTTTCTCAGGCCTCTCCACCTGGGGCACTTGGAGTGCATCATGAGGAAAGCTGATAGCAGAGTTTCAATACAAACCAGCTAGTTTGCTGCAGTCTGTGTGAGGCAAGATACCCCTTATTGTAAGATCTGGGGATGACTTTAAGAGCCAGTCGTGTGTTAATACGGTCCGTCAACTCCTCATCTGCCATCTCAGGGCTCTGCCTGTTCACACGGGAACGATTACCTGCAGGAAAGCATGGATGTGCCGGGACTCCTCCCGGGCTCCATTCTAAGACCTTTTCCACGTGTGTAAGATGTTTTGTCCTGCCTTCATTCAAAGCTCCCACTGGAAAAAATCAGGCTGAGATATTCAAAAAACAATTCAATCCAGAACCAGAGTGGGAAATTTCAGCCCAAATGGTGATATCAGTGGGGTGTCCGTGCTCGTCGGTATCTGTAAAAACAACAAGGAGTCCAGGGGCACCTTAAACACTCAGGGTATGTCTACACTACCCCGCTAGTTCGAACTACCTAGTTCGTGCCCCGTGTAGCCGCGCTGCACGGGGTTCGAACCAGCGGGGTTTTAAAAATGGCGGCTCCCCGCTTATGCAAATGAAGCCCGGGAAATTCAAATCCCGGGCTTCATTTGCAAGTGCAGTATGCATACATTACCCCGCTAGTTCGAACTAGGAGGGTAGTGTAGACATACCCTAACAGATTTATTTGACCTCAAGCTTTCATGAGCAAGGCCCACTTGGTCAGGTGCGTTGGAGTGGAATTTATTAATGATTCATTTCCACTTCAATACATCTGATGAAGTGGGTCTCTGCCCACAAAAGCTTGCACCCGAATAAATTTGTGATTCCAAATGATTAAAGTTTGACAAACTTATAAACAACTGAAAATACACGTGTGTCAAACAACCTGCGAGGCCCATTCACTTTAGCTCTTCACCTCAGTCGGTGGCAAGAAGTTCCGCTGACCAAATATGGATTTTGTAAACAGGTTTCTTTTCTCAATGCTATATGTTCACACTGTCCATGTCACTGAGTGTGCCCTAAGACCCCGCCATTGAGGGGCACAGCTTGTGTTTGAGTTAGACCTGGTGCACTGTGGCATCAGAGCAACAGGGCTAGAATGGACCTCAGGTGGCTGATTGTCCATCCCCTGCCAAAATAAAGGATTTGCTGCACTTAAACTATCCCAGAGAGTCGGCTATCCCTGCTGCTTTGGAAAAGCTCCGGTGAATGAATTTCCGGAACATTGTTCAGCATCTGTTCCCTTCTCCTCCACTTCTTACAGTTAGGAAGATGATTTTTTTTCTCATGAGATTTAATCTAATGTGCTCTGCTGGTTTTTGTACCAATTGTCTCTGTTCATGCCTCCTGTGAAAAGAGAAATGTGACCTCACTCTAGGTCTAGGAGGGGATTTCAGTGAGCTGGTACAATCCAGCAGAGAGTTTGGAGTCATTGTGGGTTGTTCTCTGACAATATATGCAGTGGTATTCAAAACACCTAACTGAATGTTGTGAATGGCTAAAAAGGGGCTAGAGAATCAAATTGTCTCTCTAGAAACCCATGGCACGCCCCCACCTTATATGCTGCATCAGAATGGGTGCACCCCATCTTATACCCGTCAGAGGGATACTGGAATTGAAAAGTGCAACACAAAAGCTTGGGATAAGGAACAGCTTTCACAAGGTGAGTGTAAAAGCCCTGGGACTCGGCAGCTAAGATAAGAGCTGAGTAAAAGACGATGGGGTGGAGTTCCATAAAATCACGACTGGCGTGGAGACAGGGAATCAGGGAATGTTTTTACTCCTTCCCATCCAATGACAATGGGCCATTGAGATTTGTCGGGCAGCCAGTTTTGGTGCATTTTACAGGCTCCACCGATGCTGTGCAGTGTTCATTTGCATAAATGCTTTTTCGAAATAACCTATTTGAAGATGAAAAAGCTGTTTAGATGAAGTTATTTCGAGAAAAAACTCTTCTTTTGAAATAACCCTTAAACCCCATTTTATAAGGAGTAAGGGGTATTTCGAAAGTAGGGTTTTTTCTCGATCTAAACAGCGTTTTTTATCTCAAATTAGGGTATTTCGGAAAAGCGGCTGGCTGTGATTATGCAAACGAAGCACGGGAAATTCAAATCCAAGCTTCATTTGCAATTTCATTTGTCTACATTTGTATTCCTCTCTCAAAAGAGGAATACAGTGCAGACATACCCTGAAATACTCGAAAACTGCTATCATGGCCCCTGTCAATCTTCTATTCTCCAAACTAAACAAGCCTGATTCTTTCACTCTTCCCTCCTAGCTCATGTTCTCTAGAACTTTCATCATTCTTGTTGCTCTTCTCTGGACCTTTTCCAATTTCTCCACATCTTTCTTGAAATGTGATGCCCAGATCTAGACAATACTCTGAGGCCTAAGTAGAGTAGAAGAATGATTTCTTGCATCTTGCTCACAACGCACCGGTTAATGCATCCCAGAAAATGTTTGCTTTTCTTGCAACAGCAGCACACTGTTGACTGATATTTAGTTTGTGGTCCAATATGACCCCTGAATGCCTTTCTGCCGTACTCCTTCTTAGACAGTCGCTTCCCATTCTGTATGTGTGAGACTGATTGTTCCTTCCTAAGTGGAGCACTTTGCATTTGTCTTTATTAAACTTCATCCTGTTTACCTCAGACTATTTGTCCAGTTTGTCCAGATCATTCTGAATTATGACCCATTCTCCAAAGCACTTGCAAGCCCTCCCAGCTTCTGCAGACTTAATAAGCGTCCTCTCTTTGCCAAAGCTAAATCGTTGATGAAGATATTGAATAGAACCAGTCCCAAAGCAGACCCCTGCAGAACCCCGCTTATTATGTCCTTCCAGCAGGATTGTGAACCATTAATAACTACTCTCTGAGAATGGTTATCCAGCCAGTTGCGCACCCACATTCTCAAAGACTCATCTAAATGATATTTGCCTAGTTTCTTGACAAGAAGATCATGCGAGACCGTATCAAATGCCTTACTAATGTCTAGGTATACCACGACAACTGCTTCTCCCTTATCCACAAGGCTTGTTATCCTATCAAAGAAAGCTATCAAATAGGTTTGATATGATTTGTTCTTTAAAAATCCATGCTGGCTGTTGCCTGTCACCTTATTTTCTTTCAAATGGTTGCAGATAAATCCCTTAATTATTTGCTCCATTATCTTTCCTGGCATGGAAATTAAACTGACTGGTCTGTAGTTTCCTAGGTTATTCTTATTTCTCTTTGTATAGATGGGCACCGGATTGGCCCTTTTCCAGTCTTCTGGAATCTCTCCTGACTTTCCTAGCAGTAAGATGATAGCTAAAGGCTCAGATATCTTCTCTATCAGCTCCTTGAGTATTCTAGGAAGGATTTCATCAGGCCCTGGGGACTTGCAGACATCTAACTTCTCTAAGTAATTTTTAACTTGTTCTTCTATTTTAACTTCTAACCTTTCCCCATTTCGATTAGCACTCACTATGTTAGGTATCCCATTACTGTCAAACTTTGGTGAAGACCAAAACAAAGAAGTCATTAAACGTCTCTGCCATTTCCAAGTTTTCTGTTACTGTTTCTCACTCCTCAATGAGCAATGGGCCTGCCCTGTCCTTGGTCTTCCTCTTGCTTCTAATATATTTATAGAAAGTCTTCTTGCTTCTCTTTATGTCGATAGCTAGTTTGAGCTCGTTTTGTGCCTTTGCCTTTCTAATCTTGCCCCTGCATATGTGTGTTGTTTTCTTATATTGTATTGCTTATGTTTGCCTCATCCACCTCTTCTCCCTAGGTAGGTAGTCAGTAGTAGAGCCCTAGTAGTACACTACCCTTGCTTTTCACCCCTTTTAACCTAACCCAGAGACTCTCAGGAAGTCTGCTCCCTACATCCATCTCCACCACAGTCCAAGTGTGTGCGTTTTAAATATATAAGGCAACACCTCCCCCTCTTTTCTCCCACCTTTCCTTCCTGAGCAAGCTGTACCCATCTATTCCAATATCCCAGTCATGTGTATTATCCCACCAAGTCCCTTTGATACCAACTATGTCATAGTTGTGTTTCTTTTAACAGAATTTAAAGTTTTTCCTACTTATTACCCATACCTCTCGTATATAGGCATCTAAGATACTGATTTGGTTTTGCCTCCCAGTTCTGCCTTGTCCCTGTTATATACTTTATACGTTCCTCTTTTTTTATCCTTAACCCTGCAAAGCATGGATTTTCCCAAGAGTCGTTAGTGTCCCTTTTAGATTCATAACTTGCAATGTCCGCTCCCCCAGTAATAGCTGCTTCATCTTCCCACTGAAATGGGTTTTTAGCAAAATTCAGCCACATTTTTTTACCACAGAATCAAGATTTTTTTCTCCCAAAATAATACTTCTTCCCCCGAATTCCCCAAGTTTCATTCAGATTTTTCTCTCTAAATTCTCTACATTTCTCACTAAGTAATCAGTGGGATGTTTCCCTAATATATGTTTTGCCAAATGTTCAGGTTTCTTCCACTCTCAGATTTTGAGCTACCAAGGGAATGGGGAGCTATCTTTACCAAGGTCTCCCCAGCCTCAGTTTTCCTGTCATGAAAGAACAATGACGGAGAACCAGTATCAACACTTAGGTTTCCTGGTGACTCCTATTAGGGTTTCCCACACTATGATGTGTATCACTTACTGACACTTGGAGCACCATCTAATACGGAATTGGCCTGAACAGGGTCAATTGTTCCTAATTCATTTCTCTGGTTAATGGAAATGTTATTTTCAGTGTGGGAAGAGTGACAAATTACTCCATCCATCAGAACAGCCTCCAGCAAGGCATGTGATATCTGACATTCACTTTTGTCTCTCCATACAGGCTTTTGTGTGGTGATCATCACCCTAGACCCTGGGCACCTACAGGAAGTCAGGAGAACATACGGTTTGAGAAGAAGGCACGGTTGTGCCCCCGAATTGGACAACTTCTCACCGACTCCATGTCTGATTCCAACACAACCAAGTTCACCAACCCCTCTACCTTCATCCTGATGGGTATTCCTGGCTTGGAAGCAGCCTATGTCTGGCTCTCCATCCCCTACTCTATCTTGTATGCCATCGTTCTCTTGGGGAACTTCACCATCCTCTTCATTGTGAAGGTTGAACCAAGCCTCCATGAGCCCATGTACTATTTCCTCTGCATGCTGGCTGTCACCGACCTGGTCTTGTCTACGTCCACTCTGCCCAAATTGTTGAGCATCTTCTGGTTCAATGCCCGGGAGATCAGTTTCAATGCCTGCCTTGCCCAGTTGTACTTCCTTCACTTCTTTGCAGTGATGGAGTCTGGGATCTTCATGGCCATGGCGTTTGATCGCTACGTGGCCATCTGCCATCCCCTGAGACATTCCACCATCCTGAGAAACTCTGTAGTAGTCAAGATTGGTCTGGCCGTGGTTCTGCGAGGCAGCATTATTGTACTGCCCTATCCTTTCCTGGTGAGGAGGTGGCAATACTGCAGAACCAACATCATCCCCCACACGCACTGTTCACATATCCAGCTAGTGAACCAGGCCTGCGGTGACATCAGCATCAGCAGTAACTACGGCCTCTTCGTGCTATTCTGTGGGAAATGTCTGGACATGGTTCTTATCGCCATGTCCTATTTCGAGATCCTCAGGGCCATCTTCAAGCTTCCCACCAAGGACGCCCGGCTCAAGACTTTTGGGACCTGTGGCTCCCACCTCTGCGCCATCTTATCCTTTTACATCCCTAGTTTCTTCTCCTCCTTCACACAGCGGTTTGGCCAGAAACTACCCCTGCATTTCCATGTTCTCATTGTTGACATGTACCTAATGATACCCCCCATGCTCAACCCCATCATCTACGGAGTGAGGACCAAACAGATCCAGCAGAGGCTGCTCCGGCTCTTTGTTTGTGGAAGCAAGATCTGAAGGAACGCTTCCCTGGCAGCTCGAAGGAAGGAAGGAAGGAAGGAAGGAAGGAAGGAAGGAAGGAAGGAAGGAAGGAAGGAAGGAAGGAAGGAAGGAAGGAAGGAAGGAAGGAAGGAAGGAAGGAAGGAAGGAAGCAAGCAAGACAGGCCCCTGATGTAGCTATGTGAATACTGTTTGTTCCTGTTTTACGTAGATGGGTTAGATAGTCAGCAGATGGAGTGGTGTTTGGCACATTGTAATCCACGTAGTCCTGACCCACACAGCCCAGGAGAGCAGTGGTGGAAAGCAGGGAGCTGGCAGGTGGCAAGTGACCAGCGGAATGAGCATGATGTCTCTTTTTGTCGTCCCCCCACCACAATGGGAGATGAGCTCAGTGGAAGGACTTATGAACGCCGGGTCTGCCCTGACCAAGGGCAGCAGCTTTGAGTGGGGTGGAGAGAAGGGTTGGGCCTGTGAGCGGGACCTTGAGATTTCCAGACTGAACAACCTGAGAGAAAAGGGACATTGTCCAGCCTACGTGGGATGGGATTTTTCCTCTTGGTCTATGTTTGTGACCCTGTTTGCGGTGTTCTCCCAATTCAATGCCATGCTGCTTCCCTCCCTCTCATTAACGGTGTCTTTTCCACATTCATACTCTGAGCATGTTGGGCCTGTGAGCGGGACCTTGAGATTTCCAGACTGAACAACCTGAGAGAAAAGGGACATTGTCCAGCCTACGTGGGATGGGATTTTTCCTCTTGGTCTATGTTTGTGACCCTGTTTGCGGTGTTCTCCCAATTCAATGCCATGCTGCTTCCCTCCCTCTCATTAACGGTGTCTTTTCCACATTCATACTCTGAGCATGGGGATTTCCTTTCTGAGGCAGCAAAGGTGGGGGCAGAATTTCCAGGGTTACAATGTGAGAGCTTGAGCTGGTTCTGTGTCAGGCTGAGGGAGAGGAATCTCTAGATACTGAACTTGGTCCCGGCTACCACTGGCTCCATTAGGAAAAGTCCCATCTAAAGTAGATTGGGCAGGGTCCTTGTCGTAACAGGTTCTGAACTTGCTCCACTGGTCACTCGCCATCTGCCTGCTCACTGCACCACTGCTGCCCCACTGGCTGCTCACTGCACCACTCCAAAGCTGCCTTGCTACCTGCTCACTGCAACGCTCCACAGCTGCCTTGCTAGCTGCTCACTGCACTCCTCCACAGCCACCCCGCTAGCTGCTCTCTGCGATGCTCCACTGCTGTGCCATTGGCTACTCACTACAATGCTCCACAGCCACCTGGCTAGATGCTCACTGCACTGCTCCATTGCCACCCTGCTGGCTGCTCACTGAGCCACTCCACCACTGCCCTGCTGGCCACTCACTGCACTGCTCCACTGCCACTCCACCACTACCTTGATGGCCGCTCACTGCATGGCTCCACCACCACCCTGCTGGCTGCTTACTGCACCACTCCACAGCCACCCTGCTAGCTGCTCACTGCACCAGTACACTGCCACTCCATCACCGCCTTGCTGGCTGCTCACTGCACCACTTCACCACCACCTTACTAGCTGCTCACTGCACCACTCCACTGCTGCTCCACTGCCTCCCTGATGGATGCTCACTGCACTGCTCCACTGCCACCCTGCTGACCACTCACTGACCCAGTACACCGCCTTGCTGGCTGCTCACTGCCCTGCTTCACCACCATCTTACTAGCCGCTCACTGCACTGCTCCACTGCCACTCCACTGCCACCCTGCTGGCTGCTCACTGCACTACTCCACTGCCTGGCTGGCTGCTCATCACATCTCTCCTCTGTCACCCTCTTTGGTGTCCGTCACCATTTTTCTGCCATCCCCCTCTTGACTGTGACTCCTGCCCACCAGCCTCCAGTGATTTCAGTGCCCAGTGAGTTCAATTCTTCGCAAGCAGGATAGAAGGCATTTCCCTGCTACACAATTGACATAAGAAAGGGTCTCTGAATGATGCCTATTTAACTCTGTTGTTTGAACAGTGAGTGTGTGTGTGGGCGGGGGAAGGGATAGGTCAAACAAGCAGGTCCTGGTAGGGGAGGGTCTGTGTCTTTTTGGCCAGAATAACCTTCCATTAACCCATCTCCTCTCACAGAGCCCCTGTTGGGCAAGGTTCTTTCTGCTAACCTCTTTGGAACAATTTAGTACTGTCCTGCTAGTCTGTATTCCCACAACATTACAAATCTTGGCTACCATATTTTAGCTATCCCTGAATTTCATACACATATCACCGGTGTTGGGTCCAACATTAAACGGGTAACACTGAGCAAACTACCCCTCCATCTGCTAAGTAGCTAACACGTCAAAGTAAAGCAGGAGCAAACTGTGGTTATATAGACGCACCCAGAATCTTTCCCCCTTCCCAGCTAGCTGTGAGGGAATTGTTCCTTCCAATCCTGGTTACACTCATAAAGGGACCTAAAGTTTTGTCTTGGTGCTCTGAGTCTCAGAGCTTCATTCAGAGTTGACAGTTGACATGCTGACATGTCTTCCTTTAATCACTGAAGGTACGTCTACACAGCAGGGCTAAAGTGGAATTAAGCTATGCAAATTCAGCTACGTCAGTTGAGAAGCTGAAGTCAAAATAGCATAATTCAGCTGTTGGCGCTGTCTACACAGCAGGAAGTCGAAGGAAGAGCACTCTTTTTTCGACTTCCCTTACTCCTCGGGAAATGACTGGGCAGTGGAGACACTTTCCTGGCCTTACTGTGCTGTCTCAGCAAAACACACTGGGAAATGGGTCTGTATACATCTCACTGACTCCTGGGGGGGGCACTTTTCTAACTGCAGTTCTACCTGGAACTCTACCCTGTCCCACCTTTTTCCTCAGCAGTGTGATGCTGTTGCAAAGAAAGCAAACATGATTCTGGGATGAATTAACAGGTGTGTTGTGAGCAAGACACGAGAAGTCATTCTTCTGCTCTACTCTGCGCTGGTTAGGTGTCAGTTGGAGTATTGTGTCCAGTTCTGGGCACCGCATTTCAAGAAAGATGTGGAGAAGTTGGAGAGGGTCCAGAGAAGAGCAACGAGAATGATGAAAGGTCTAGAGAACATGACCTATGAGGGAATGCTGAAGGAATTGTGTTTGTTTAGTTTAGAAAAGAGAAGATTGAGGGGGGACATGATAGCCGTTTTCAGGTATCTAAAAGGGTGTCATAAGGAGGAGGGAGAAAACTTGTTCTTCTTGGCCTCTGAGAATAGAACAAGAAGCAATGGGCTTAAACTGCAGCAAGGGAGGTTTAGGTTGGACATTAGGAAAAAGTTTCTAACTGTCAGGGTGGTCAAACACTGGAATAAATTGCCCAGGGAGGTTGTGGAATCTCCATCTCTGGAGATATTTAAGAGCAGGTTAGATAAATGTCTATCAGGGATGGTCTAGACAGTATTTGGTCCTGCTTTGGGGGCAGGGGACTGGACTCGATGACCTCTCAAGATCCCTTCCAGGCCTAGTATTCTATGATTCTATGATTCAGGGTCCCACCTCTGTTCCACATCTCACCTATAGTCCCCAAGCACTTCTGCAAAGGCCTTTCCCTTCTTGCTACTTCTCCTCCTCCTACTGTCACTCCCTGGATCATCTCTGTGATGGGTCGTCCCTGGGTTGCACCTGGAACTGAGGTCCAGCTGAGACATTTTTTCCCCCAATCTAGATACCCTCTTGTACTGCAACGTGACATGCTGCAAAGCCCTCTGAGCTTCCCTCTAACTTACACCCTCAGGCAGGAACCACACCCATGAATGCTCTGGTCACCAATTCTTGAAGAGTCAAAATACGCCCAGCCGAAAACACCAGAGCTGCAATTTCCTGCCCTGGTCAAAAGCCGACCAGTCTGACTTACACACCCAGGGCACCACTTCTGCAAAGGAAAATGGACATGCACCAACCTTGGGCTTGTGTGTATTTCCTCAAAGAGCCACCAGCTCTCTGTGGCCTTTATATTGTTATACCTGAAAGGTGTAATGAGAGGGTTCTTGGGGTCACACTTATCTCTGGAGCCAGACTCCATCACTGCACATACACTGATGGCACAGGCTGCTGCACATCATGTTGGTGTTCCACAGAGCCTGACTTCAGGTAGGGCACCTCACGAGTCGCAAATTGTTTTATAAGAATTGGCTCTGTACTGATATTTGAAATATTTGCCTTGGAGAGACACCAACCGGCTTGGCCAACCTATCCTGAAAGGAAGGCAAGTCAAGTGGTTAGCAGCACTTGACTGACAATGCTCCTCCAGCGGTGCCAATCCACATCTGAGAAGCTTTGCTGTGAATGTTCCAACCAGCATGTGACTGACAGCTGCTGACTAAAACAGACTGAATCACTCATGGGCAGGTGACTTTCTCGGGTGCCTTCCTCAGGTGACAATCTCCATCGTGAGACACACTTTCCCAGAAGGAGAACAACAGGAGACCGTCCGCATGGGCACGTTATATAGAGAGGGCCTTGTGGGCCCTAACATTTTGTCTCCCTAACAGAGTGTGTGTCCCAGAGACTTGTTTTAAGACAGCAGCTTATCCCATCTCTGCTACAAGCCTGCACCAAGAACTTTGCAATTGGTGCATGACTCTGATTCCTTTACCAATTTTAATTCTGACCCTTTTCTTCTTTCCTTGTATTAATAAACCTTTAGATTCTAGATAAAAACAAAGGCCTGGCCCAGCGTGCTCTTTTGGGTGCGATCTGAGGTAACAATTGATCTGGGAACGTGGCCATTCCTTTGCGATTGGAAGAACCAGTTTGGATTTGGCGAGATGGTTTTCATAGCCTCTCGCCTGTGGAAGGAGCGGTGCAGGTGGTGGGACAGGAAAACCAGAGTGTCTAAGGACATGGCTTGTGTGGTTTCTGATTAGCCAGTGCGGCAAACGGAAGTGCCCTTTGTGACTGGACTGGTGCCTCATAATGGAGGGCCCTTGGGCTGTTTGTAGGCCTGTCTCTAAGCAGTTCACCTTGATGGATCCTCTCAACGGTGCCCCAGAACCCTCCTGTACTGCAGCC